TTAGTAGTTCGCAGTATTCACCTATATGCAATGCACCTATACAAATCACATCGGGCATGGCCAAAGGACGGATGCACCCACACGTTGTTCCATATTATCTCGAATCAGATTCCAAAAAAGTTTTCAACTAGGTAATTCTTCTAAAGTTGTCCGAGTTGCCTTTTATTACATGGATGGATCCTGTGGCCCAACGTTTTCATTGAATCGTTGAATCCCAGTGCCAACATCCATATTTATGGCACCCTGGATTGACAGGATCTCAACGCTCATGTTGTAAATTCCTGTGACCCGACATGCTATCCAAAGGGGTATTGAAATTTTAAAAAATTGTTTTTTTGCGAAACGTACGTGGTTGGCTTACTTCAAACACAGGGGCTGCGCGCATGGGGCACACAAACACAGAAACTGTACAACAAAGGTGTTCTTTCTTGTCCTCTTGTCTTCGTGCTCTTTGTGACGCGTGGCACCGACCACAATGCGCGCAGCGATGGAGAAAAAGAGAGCAATGCTTCCGACCAATTTTACTCCACTTTGGACTTCCGTCCCCGATCCGGAGTTCTTCCCTAGCCGCTAGCCCCTGGACCCAAGCATGCCTCAAAAAAATACAGGAAGGGTCACAACACAAATCCTCAGATCAGTACAGCAAGTGAGAGCTGTGATGTAGCTGCCGTGTGAGATCACACTGATGGGAAGCGGCACATGCGCAGGAAGCTTGCAATTTTTTTCGGTCATGTGCTGAGAGCAAAGCCACATGTGCCCATGGTCATTCAGGTACGGTTACGGTACGCCTCGTTTCTGTTCAGCAGGTTTCGCGTGCTTGAGAAAATATGGCAAAACGAGTGTTGAATTTACCACAGGACGCGCATACAAAGGGAAATTGGCATTGTATGGAGTGGAATACAAGGCCAGTGACACCTTTGAGCGTGTCATGCCTTTGCAACTTGACGTATCACATCCGCCTTGCTTGCGCCCTACTAAAATCCTGTGGGTTGACCCTCACCTGAGCTGGTTAAGTTCTCACCGTCACAGGGTCGTCAAGCAGGCGCAGGGAGTTGCGGCAAAAGACACATGGAGCGCAGCAGCGGTTCAGAAAAAGTTGCTCCGAAGCATAGCCAGGCGTTGGGAAAGCAGTCGCAACACACAAGGCCAAGAAGTCACGCCGCCACGCCCCCGAGTTTCGAGCAGCGCCCCATCCTGGTCAAGCAGCACACCATCTTCAAGCACGAAGTGAGGCAGCGTCGGCGTCTTCGTCGTCCTCGGCAGGCCACAACAAGTATAAGTACAGCAACTTCTTGGCGCCAAACGAATGTTTGAAGCGTCCCCTGAGTCAATTTCATGGTGAACACCAAGCGTCTGGAGTTGTGCGTCGCGCACGGCAAAGGTGTGAGAAGGAGTTGCCGAAGGTTCAGTGGTTGAGGTAGTGGGCAAAACACCTCGGCAGTCAGAGCAGAAGTTACTTGTGCCAGGAATCTCGGAGAGCGGTGACTGCTACGTTGGGAAAGCAAAAGAAAACCCGTGACACAGAATCAGAAGAGAGTGCGGACACAGCCAGGAAAGCCACACCCCAACCACGTGATACAGATCGCCCACAAGGTGCAGTCCCTCTTAGCATTTCAAACCATGCCGCTGCGGTGCTCACACAGAGGAACTGGTTGGCTCATGCCTTCCTCCTCGCGGGCATACTGGTAGTCCACGGTGTGTACCATTCGGCCTCTGGCCATCCTTTGTTACCGTTTCTGCACAAAGCCTGCCAAGATGTCTTCCTGGTCCACGTGGCGGGCGTCAAGCAGCCTCTGCATTGTGTCTGAAACGAATCTTCCCTTTAATCCGATCTTCCAAATCTTCCATCTGCACTGCTCCTCACTTCGCCACTAACGGAGTCCACATGCCATGGGCAGCGGGATACCCCAACCTCTCTGTGAGTTGCCTGGCGCTCACTGCCAGAGCACACTGGCAGCCAAGAGGTTGAGGATCCCAGCGCCTCCTCAGCACCTGTGGTGCTGTGTGGGGCGCTTGGACTGGAGATGGGCGACTCCAGACAAGTTTGTCCAGTGTTTGGACGAAAGCAAATGGTTCTGGACCCGGCGTGGGAGTTCAGGTGCTGAGACATGCCGCAGGGAGGTTTGCAGAAAATGTTGAGTCAAAAACAAATATTGTAATCTGTGTTGATATGTGTTGATTTGGTATCTTACTTTTAGAAGACGTCAATCAAGCTCTACAAGACCGACCTCTAGCAGTTCACTGGTCCTTTTTTACACAAGTTTGCCACAAGAACATGATCTTGCACTTCCTTAAACATGGACCGGTCGTGCTCACCACAACCGTTTGAAGACGGCCAACCGAAGACACCTCCGCAAAGTGGATGACCCCAAATGAACATGTGTCTAGCATGATCTGTACACATCTGAAATAACTATCAGCCCTCCAATAACTTGGCGATGCCCTTTGTTCCTAGCAGCTTCTTGTTACTACAGTAGTAGTATGGCCAGGAGCTACTAGCAGCTTCTTGCTCCTAGTAGCGATGCCTTTTGTTACTAGTGTTCAAAAAGGCTATCGTTGTTTTCCACAATGTCTCCAACTTGTGTTTGAGGCAGCGGCCTAAAAAGAGGCGACACACAGTCAGGCACTCCATGTGGTCACTGCGGAAGCAAGACCCCCACCGAAGGAGGAGTAAAAAGTTGACCTGCGCTCAAAAGTGGTGGATCTTTAAGAGCATGTCGCCCACGCAGGAGAAGTGGTACAAGGCATGGTCTTGGTCGCCCATCTCCACCCCATTGTCACGAGGCCGGAGGCAGTCGGCACAACTTTGGTTTCAAGGCGTCTGGTTGCAGGTGGGGCTGTTCATGGTGGTTCACCCCTTTGGGGCCGAGGCTAACAGCTAACGAAACCAAACTACAAACCCACATGAAGACTGGCGAGGAAGCCTACGGAAGCCGTTAAGTTTCCGCCATTGACAAGGTTTTCCATCGTTACGTCGTTTGAGCTCCAGTTCTCAGCTTCGTGCTCCATCACCACATGGGCGGTTGATGGCAAGCCTATGCAAGTGCACAGTCTACGTCTTTCTGAAATGATTTCAGAGGCAATGCTTCTGGGCGTGGACGTGCACAAGTTGAACAGGATGGTCGACGATTGTGCACAATGAGTGGCATCCTAGCAGCAAGAGCGGGGTCACGCCCAAGTTTTGTCTCAAGAGGACTTCACTTCCAGGCCGTAGGTGCAGGTGAACTTTCACCCTGCATTTTCGAAATGACTCACCATGCGCCATTGGATATTGTTGTTGAAGTGAACACATGGCCGTTGCCACGCTGCTTGGTGGTTTGTTTGCTTTCGATTGCCCATCTCACACCCAAGTCAGCAAATGTCTTCCAAGCTTTGACCAATGCTCGCGGAATGTGCAAGCAGGGCAGTGACATGGCAAACCTAATCAACATCATCAACAAACTGTATGAAGTGAGCGAGCGTGTGCCACGGAAGCACCTGTCCAGCGCATACTGTTGTTTGCATGTGTGTGTGTGCGCGCCTGTGCTGGGACCTGGAACACTGACTGGATTGCAGAAACAACAACAACCACAACGACAACAACAAGTGCAAGGCGCAGCTTTGGCACACAGTTGGCACAATTGCACTCTTCTTGTCTTTTCATACCGATCTGGAAAAGCGGTGCCATTGCCAATATACCCTGCGATGGCGATATCCGCGCACGGTAGTTTGAGAAAGTAACATCGAACTCCATTCCAACACGTGTGTTTGTGTGTGTGTCTGTCCGTCTCTGTCTCCGTCTCTGTCTCTGTCTGTCCGTCCCTCCCTCCATCCATCCATATGTAAACGTACGTGCGTACGTTTGTACGTACAGATGGATGCATATGCATATGCATAAATATGGATGGATATGTACTCTGTGTATATGTGTGGATATGTTTGCCTCTGGATGTGTATGTGCATGTATGCATGTGTATGCGATGTGGATGTGGATGTGGATGTGCATGGATGTATGGTGCAAAGATGCTGCAAACCTTGGGGCTGTCCATTCATGTGTGGGGTGGGCAACGTTTCCTCCTCAGCTTGGTGTCCAACTGTGCAAGCTGGACTGTGGCTGCGGCACTCTTTTTCCGTTCGACGTAGCCACTATAGACTATAGGTGACTAAGACTACAGGTGAAACTCTCGGTGAGACTGTCCATCTTGGGTTGTTCAGGTCTTGTAAGGACCCAGAGTGCCGAAACAACATGCCTAAACCAAAACCCATCTTCGCATTCCAGTGATGAACAGAATACCAAGCCAAAACATCAGAAGGAGTGAATGACTGACCCGGCAACACAAACCCATTTTGTATGGAAACTTACCGAGGAAGCAGGCTCCTCCAACCGTTCTTTGAGAACTTGGTCGAGGAGACCCTGCTGTGGACTAGAGCACAGCCTCCTGAACTTCAAACATATAACTTTTTCAAGTACAGTATATCCAAGTACCTAACAACCAGATTTCAGCGATCCAAGCTTTGGCATACGGTGGTCATCCCACCCCTCCCATACTCCACGGTATGACACAGGAATTCAGGATCGTTGCAGCTCAAGAAAATCCACAGCACAAACAACAGAATAACTTAAGTGGGAACGCCTCCCAACACCCAGCGTTGAGATGGGCGTGGAGTGGTGGACCCACATAATACTCCTGAGACCGTGTGCGTTCTGTGACACTGTGAGTGGTATATGTATGGCACAAGGTGTCGCAAAAGCACACAGAGACCAGGTACACGCGGCGAGCAACAGCAAAAAAACATGCATTTCTACAGCCAGCCACTCTGGCTGGGGAAATACTTGGCCATTGGCACTAGGATGGGAGCTGTCTTTGAACAAGCTCCAAGTTTCTTCAGAGCCATCAGGCTTAAAGGGCTCCTTCATTGCAAGTAAGGACACATTGTTCAATCCTGCTCGTACATTTCCAGGCAAGATGTCTTCGGCAAATCTTAGATTGCACAGAATAGCTTTACGAGCTGCACCTTCAGGCTAAAGACCGTTTGTTGGGAAGAAGCCCGGCATGAGTGGCTCTGGCTGTGGGTTGGCGCGACGCTGGAAGCATCTCAAAAGCGCTGGGAGAAAGGCTTGTCTTTGCTAGTCTTGCCCTGGCACGCTCAAAACAGCATAAAGCATCATAAATCCCAAACCGTGGGCCTGTCCATGTGGGTGTTGCAATAAAAACAGTTGTTCCAGTGCAACCTACCCTCCAATTGTGAGGTTGTTTGATCGTGGGGATAAGTGCAAGAGGGCTGGAGCAGACCGCCACTAGCCACTAGCTGCAAGCAGCTAGTAACAATGTTCGCTACTAGGGGTTCCTGGCCGCACTACTAGGAGCAAGTAGCTACTATATAGGAGTTTGTTGGCAAAAGGAAGCACCCCACAAATCTGGCACGACTCAGAGTCCTGCCTCATACGCGGCAGAGTGCAAAGCATCGAACAGTTCCTGGGTTCTTTTTGGAGCGCTGGAACTGCACACTGTCTTCCAAAAAAGTGTCATCTAAGAATCTAAGCTTCGCTAAGTCTAACCACCAATATCATCCTTTATCAAATTGTGAGTTCAGTACGCCAGTGTCCGAGCACCATTCTGCCAAACGGTTGAACACCGTTCTGCGCGAAGAGCATCCAAAAGCTGTGTTCGCTGATTCCTTCGCCGATTCCTTCAGAAAACCTTCTTGACTGAGCTCCAGCTTTGCCTCTGCCACAACCCAACCCAACCAGGCTCCTCGAACTTCACTCTTCCAGATGCCTGGAAGCAAGCAGCTGTTCTGCATCCCCCTGGTTTACCAACAACATCCCACAACATCGCCTGGCTTGCAAACTGCAGCGGATAGTTCGGTCAGCATTGAGATATCATTTCTGGACGCACATTTACCCAGGTCAGTGCTAGAGATGACAGTGCAGGGTGAACCCTCGGTCGACCCAGCCTGCCCGATGGTCTGCCGGACAGTGTCAATGGAAACGCCCGGGAAATTTGTTGCAACACACCTAGGCGCCGATGGGTGCACAGCAAGACAAGCAATGGGGGTCGTGAAGAAAGATCTGGGCATGGGCAGCCTGCATGTTGAAGTTGGGCTTCTTATGAAGGCGACAGACACCAGGTGACTGTGACCAAGGACCCCTTGCATGAAGGACCCTGAACAGTACTTTCAATATCTTGAAGTAGCACACAGAAGACACACTATGATCTTCCTGCGTCATCATCACACCACCACATGTCAATTACAGTAGTAATTTGGCATCTCTTCATTTTCTAGGTGACCTCCAGATCATTCCCCTGCCATTTCGATGTCGTTGCCGCGTCCTTGTCGCGTTATGCACTTATCATCACTTATGTATATATATATATATGTAAAGGCTCAGTCCATTATGTCCAGCCCCTTTTCTTCGCAAGACCCAG